GAGCATTAATGACACACACCTCATGTATTAATGTGTATTGTACTGTATTCTAGTATTAGTGGTATCATCTCTTGATTGTATCAAGGCTAACAATGATTACGAGGTAATTGATATGATCACTGATATCTCATTGATTTGTTTGATATCTCATTGATCAGGATCAACAGTCCAGATATCACAAACACAAGATTGCTATTGAACAGATGAAGCAACAATCAAAGACACTCTTGAAATCAGTGGGAATGACTGATACCAGCTTAGACAAAGTATATAATAATATTTTATTATTCATTTATAAACTTATTAATTAATTAATTTATTTATTTATTTATTCATTTATTAGTATGTTGCTGGTTCTTTGGAGAATAAGTTGGTCTCACTCAAGGATTGTCAGTTGTTATTAAACACTATTAACATCAACAGAATACAAAGAGTAATACCTAGAGAACTGGTAAGAGAATACCTTCTGAATCTGATGTACATGTACATGTACTTATGCTGTTTTTAAAGTTGCTTAAAAATATTTTGCCCAAAATTAAGACAAGAGAATTCTTCATTTTATTACATAATCTATTCCAGGAGAGTCGTTCCTTGCTCCAGCCAATCCTGTCCAGTATATTCTATTTCCTGTCTGTTCTCTGTGTGGCTAAGTACAAGTCAATACTGGACTCTGTTGAGAAAGAAAGGGCTGACCTCTCATTACCACGACGACAGAGATCAAGCACCAGTTCCAATGGTTCCCAGTCCCCTCAGTTGTCCCTGGAGTTAGGGTCCCTCCCTCTTGAAGATCCTTCTTCTCCTCCTCCTCCTCTCACTCCTGATACCCTGAGGTTCTCTCGTAGTGATAGCTTTGGCAGTTCAGTTGCTTCAGCTTCAGACCTTAAGGAGGTGCCCCCGGGGGAAAAGCCAATGCAGTTCTTTGGAGCTGAGGGTGTGCTCCACCCACCAACTACAGTACCTCTTAATCAGGCTGTTGATGTCTCCGAACAAGTAAGTACTACATGTGTACATGTATATGGACATTATTAGTATGTACAGTATGTGTATGTGTACATGTTCTTTTAATTGTGTGTACTAGTTTTAGTTTTCTGATGTATTGTAGTTTTAAAGGTACTTGTTAAGTGTATTATTATTATTATTTTCATTAGGTGAGTGTTAGTCTCCGATTGGCCGGAGGGTGTTTATGTCAGGTGCTGGTTGATCACAAGTCAGTTCTCAGTAAAGTACTGACGACTGTTGATGGGAGAAACCTTCTAAGTGACGGTATTGTTGTCCTTGTTCTTGTTGCTTGTTCATTTATTTATTTCCAGCTGCTCTGAAACTAGCAGAAGCTAACAGTACTGTTGAAATTACAATGTTACTCTGCTCTCAGGTGTAATATTAATATTTATTCATTTATTTATTTATTTATTTATTAGGAGTGGCAGACGTCCTTACAAAAAACAGCTGCTAAATATTTCGCATCATTAATCACAGAGGGACGGTAATCAAGTTACTTTTAAACCACATGTCAATAATGCTTGTCCTCCATTTTATTTCTCTCTTTCAGTCACATAACTCATATCTCTGAGTCCTTCATTCGTACTCTGGCAATGAACGTATCACAAAGTATCAAATCAAATCAAGAAATATCAACTAATATATTCACAAAATATGAAGTAATAATAATTAATATATGACTATTATTATTATTATTATTATTAATTGCCAGGAGGGGCTATCATTATTCATTAGTGACATTATTAAGGATACTCTGGTTGATCGTAAGATGAAGAAAGCTGAGTTACTGAGACACGCTCAAACTGCTGAAGCACTGTGGAGGAAAGTAAAGAGCATTTATAGTTTAATCATTATTGTTATGTGTTGCTATGGTAACTGATACGTGGTATTATGATAGTCCATATTTGTGGTTGCCCATTGATAATGTAAAGTTGGACCCACAATAGCTTTTTCAAATAA